ATTAGCTGTTACCTTTATTATTGTTGTTATTAGTGTTATTAAATGAGAGGGTTTTCATAGCGTGGTTCTCTAGTCTGATAATATCTTGTAATGTGAATTTGGAAAACCTAATTGTTTTTCTGAACAAAACTACCCTATCATGCTATTAGAACGATGTTATTTCTGTGGATTGAATATTACGAATCCCTTGGAAGATGGCTGCAAATCAGAGAATTGTTACAAATTAATGTGCACTGAGCAGTAACAATAAAGGAGGCTCTCTCTCTCTGGGTATGGGGATAATACTACATTTTCCTAGCTCAATATGACTAAATGACCATGTCCCCAAATCACATACTGTGTGATATTCATGGTCTCTGGAGTAATTGCAGTGAAAGAACTTTTCATAAAAATGGATTAATAAAAATTCTTTAAGCATTTGGGATACAAGAGATTGTGGGGATCATAGCAAAGACTATAACATGGTTGTTGATCCCAGGGATTTTAAAATCTAATTGAAGAGACTCTTTTTTATGAATAAAATAATAATACAAGACAGAACACACATTTATTCATCCAAAGAAACTTATAGGAGATGGTGCCGTGCCAGGCAATTCGAGAGGCCCTGTAGAGTAGGCATATAGAGGCCTGCCCCTTGTGCCACGCTGCTTGGGTCTCAATCTTGCTTCTTTTGCAGAATAACTGTATGATTTTACCTAACGTCTCTTTACCTCAGTGTATTGTTCTTTAAAATGATAATAAAACCATTACCTAGTTCTCAGGAATGCTGTGAGGATAAAAATGTGTTAATTCACATATAAAAACTCAATACATGTTTGCAATAAATCTCTAGCCTGAGTTCCAGATCTATTTTTCTAATTAATCAGTGGGTGTCCTGCCTATATGTGACACATCCCAAACTAAATTTATGTTTTTATTCTTACCTGCTCTACTGCATGAATCCACTCTGGCAGGGATAGATACAATCAGATTCCCAAACAAAGATCAGGTTGAAAGCAAACCATTAGCATCTCTACTTCCTAAATATGTCCCTGACCTGAGCCCTGCCCTCGATTTTCACTGCCACCACACTGGTCCATTCTTTCTTAGGTAATATGTCTTAGTAGCCTCCTAACTGGTCTTCTCCTTCCACTCCTGATCTCTTTCTGACTCTATTACTCTCTTTATGGTGAGAATAACTTTTAGAAACACGAAACAACTTGTGTTGCTCCTTGCTTAAGTTCCACCAAGGACTTCCCATTGCACTTGCAATGAGATCCTTAAAGGCCCAGCAGTATTTGGCCTTTTGCCCACATCCCCAAATGCCTCTTTTCTTCCCCTTCAGTTCCTCCAACCACTGCTTTTTGTTCTTGGCTGTGTCAAGTGTACTTCAGCCTTAAACCTTTTGCATTTTCTATTCCCTCTGCCTGAAAGCACTCTTCCTTCACATTTTCTCATGTCTGGTTCTCATCATTTAGCGCCCAACATAAACGTTACCTCCTGATAGAGGCAGAAGTAACCCCAGCTCTCCTCCCTTTCTGTCCTCGTATGCTGGGCTTTAAAATAGACCAATTAAAAACATTCACCTTCCCCGTCAGATTTCTCAGCCGTCTGAGAAGTAAGGCCAAGTTAAGGCCGATAATGACTAAAATAGCCTCTTTATAATTGGTAAAGCTGAATACAGGAAAATGTGACTTATAACTGTGGGCAGACGTATTTGCTAACACTGATCCCAGAATTCAGTAGGCTCACCTACCCATCCCAGGAAGACCACAGGGCGGGAGTCCTCTGTGCCATGTGAGGACTCGTCTCCACTGCCTCCCAGACAGTGAAGGCATGGCGAAGCAGAGCAGATATGTGCTGTCTCCCTGTGAACGTCTAGCTCTCAAGAGAAGGGGAAGAGGTGGGGGCCAGGCAGATGAGTCACTCCACTTCCCCTGCTAGAACAAGGGAAGGGGCAGAAAGGGGCCATGAGGTTATGCTACCGAGTATCCTTCCCATGGAAGAAACGTTAGGAGTGAGGAATGGATGTCCCTTCAGAATTTATCTCCCAGTTTTATTTTCTTCACGGAATTTATTTTTTCCACTGTCATTCCAACTAAGCTCAGCTTCATGCACGTGTGAATTTTTGTCTCTGTTTTCAAAGCTTAGTCCCCAAAGCCTAGTGCAGTAGTTGGCACATTGTAGACACTAAATAAATATTTAATGAATAAATAAACCCTCTTAATTTCAGCACCCTTAGTAACTAAGTATTAGTAACTAATCAGTAACTAATTCTTGCCAATTCTGCTTCATAAATATTTCTCAAATCTGTCCCCTTCTTTCCATCCTTATTGCTTCTGTTTAATCTTCTTCTATTTTCACTTCTGACTGGTTCCTTGTCTCTGCTCTAGTCTGGCTTCAGCCATTCTCTAGACTGCTGCCAAACTAATTGTTCCAAAATCCAAATCTTCCCCTTGCAGCACTCATACCTTATGATGCTATTTGTCTTTCTGAAATAATATCCTGTGTGTGTGCATAATATAATATTATATGTGTACGTATATATACACATAAATACATGTGTATATGTACATATATACTGAAATAATGTAACGATTAAATAGTAATGGCATGTGTATCAATGCCTGTGTGTAGGTAAGACATATATATGTATGTGTGTGTCTATCTGTATATCTATATATCCTAAATATATTTATATATCTGTAGGTCATCATTGATAAATATGTTTTCTCACAGTCTCTGAGTGCTAGCTCATGCTTTTTCACATACTACTGCAGTATTCTGAGTTTACTATATTATGAAATGTATGTTTACTCACGTAGCTTTTCTTTCTGCTATTTATTTTCTGTTCTAGTGGAGTTTGACCAACGATGATGATAAAAGACATAAGTGATAACGCTGCACCTATCACAAAGAAACAAAGGGGAAAATTAAGCTTTATGTCAAAATTAAACCTTTATGCTTGCTTAATATATCTTCAAAGAAATAGCCAGAAAAGCAGAGAATAAAACTTATTTAGAGATTGGTATAAATTATTTGACATTAAAGGGCATTATAAATATAACTCCAGGCTATGCAGATTGACCAAAACTTATGAGAATGATAGTTGGAAGAAAACGTGGTTAAAGGCATCATATGACTGCAGGAGATCTGCAGAGAACTGAAGAACAACTGCCGATCTAAAATACCACAGGCACCGCCGTGCAGACTGCGATCGTGCCTCATTTCCAAGGCACCCCCCACCCAGACAGGCAGGTATACAAGTTACTGTACTGATTAGAACCCATCTGTGGTGCCCATTCCCTACAGGGACAAAGCCAAACGTGAACTTTTTTATGCGTAGTAGGATCTCTTCCCATGCCCCAAGGCGCTTTTTGCTCCAACAATACCAAAATATTACCAGCCATAAACTAATGTCTTATGGTATTTCTTCCTCATTTCTTCTTACAGTTAACTCTTCATTGACCTCACCGTTCCTGCCTCCAGGAAGCCTTCCTTGCCCTTCTAGGGGTAGCCTTTGACCTCTATGCCTAAATCTATCATAGCACTAAACATAACGTATTATGTTATATAGGTAATATTCACTTCTCACAACTTCATGGTAATGGTTCTTTTCTATCTCCCTCACCAGACTATAAGCAGCTCAAAGGAAATGATTGCATTTTAAACTGTGATCTCAGCGTCTTACACATAACATGTACTCATCAATGTGTATAGAATTCATGGAGAAAAATCAAATAATAATTAGAAAGTGAATGCGTCCTTTCTGTTCCCTGAAAAAGACAAAACAGTAGAGCTTAGATTGAAGAAACAAGCAATCTGTGAGATTCCCAATCCTAATGGCTGAAATGCTCAATAACTAGATCTTAAAATTCCCTTATGGTTGTTAGTCAATGCCTGTATGTTCATTAGAGAAATCTCTTTTCATTGAAATCTCTCTATTTTAAGAATATGCTTCAGAACCCATAAGATGATGCATAATTTTAGTTGAATAGGAAGGGGTTTTGTAGTAATAACCTCAGGGTTATTTCATAGGAATTGTATATATATCTATATATACACACATGTATAACATATACATATTTATATATATGTATATTTCTCAACAGAAATAATACTGAAGGTATAATTCAGCTACATAAGTGGGAAGCATTAACGTATGTAACTAAGAGCTTAAATAATATTGAGTTTAAATTCTACTCCTGCCATGTACTTGATAAGTGGCTTTGGGCAAGCTGCTTAATCTTCTTGTACTATAAAATGAGGACAACTGAGTCTTAATCTTTTGATTCTTGTATCTTTTTAAGCCCAGTTTTTTCATCTACAAAACGGGAGTAAGATGCTATTTATCACACAGAATGTCATAAGAATTAATATGATAATAATTATAAAGGACCTGGAAATTAGTAAGCATTCAGTTAATATTAGCTCTTTTCTTAGTTATACAGTCTGATATCGGGACGTGCAGACTTAGCCTCATCACCACCAGTGACAGCTGAAATTTCCTGGAAATTACATCCTTTGGGTCTTGAAGGCTTTCACCTCCTTCCGGTTGTTAGTGATGCTACAAATACCCTTGGGGGTTAGAAAAACCTTGAGCTTATATTGTCACACATTGTCATACATAGTTTGAGCTCCCTGAGAGCCCCATTGTGTGAGAATAGAACACAGAATAATTGGAAAAGAGAATTTCACCTAATAATTGGGTTGGATTGGAAATTGTTTCACTGAACCACATATGTATGCAAGGGAAGAATAACATTCTCAATAACTTTTTGTCAACATAGCAAATATTTATATTTATATATATTTATTATATACATGATAAAACAGATTTATCAAGATACTCTGAATCCGTTATCCCACGGTAGCTTATTGGGCTATAGTAATATATTAGAAATGTACCACCTTTCAGTGGGGAATATGGAGACAAGGAAAGAGAAACAATAGCTATGGCAAAGGAATCTTAGAGCCAGTAGGCAGCCAGAACTTCCGCCTGCTGTGCGGTTGTGGCAGGACCAGGGCTTCAAGGTTGAGCAACACCTTTAGCAAACACTTCCTGAAGCCGAGAAGGGAATGAACCGGGAGTTTCACTGTCTCACTTGAGAGGAGGCAGGCGCAGAGCCAGCAGCACAGGTCTGCTGTCTGTTGGAGGGGGAAGGGCAGGCCCATGCTCCCGGGATCACCCAGCATGTTACCAGGGCTACTTCTGACGGCCACTTTCCTGCTTTCTGCAGTTCCAGGTGGGTGTTGAACTCCTTTCAGGTTCTGTTAAATACATCAGTGAGCTGCTTGCTTTTCATCTTCTCCCAATAGTTTTGTTCTTTTTTTTTTAACCAATTTGACTATCCAGTTGGGCTGGTTTTCATCGGCTGTTTGGGGGGCCTTGACGGATGTAAACACTCTGTAAAGGAGAGGCAAGGAAACATCTTGAATCAATATTTACATGCCTGATCTGAGAATATGTAGGAATCAAAGGGAAGATTTAACACAGTATTATTTAAATAATCAATATGATCTTTGAGTCAAAAAGTGAAATTTGTCAAATCCCACCTTGTCATTTTTAGAGCAATAGAGCTGCAGTCGACCTGACTGGCTAACGCTGTGGGAAGGCTTCGGGAAATAGCTTCTATTATTATTGGGACCAGCTTGGCTCATTCTCTTCCTTTTGAGTACTCATTTTTATATTTAGATTTTTCATTACTGGTGATAATAAATGTAATTAATTGGAAATAAGTAGTTGACCAATTTCATATTTATAAAGCATTGTGATATATTACTTGACCAAAACAATGTCATTTCTTAGCTTAAGTTGATAATTCACTGCCATTTTGCTGGTTATATCAAACATTTAAAACTTCAAAAGCAGAAGAATTCTACTTCCTAAAGGTAAATCACGTCTAGCATGTCATGTTTCTGGTCAATTCTCCAATTAGATTTTGGTTAAATTAGATCGGGTATCACATTTCCTTAGCTTATCTCTATTTCTAGAGCGTATTTAAGTCAGTACATTAGCTTCAGTGTCTGAGAATCCTTCCCTGGTAAACCTCTTCTTGGGTTTTAGAATGCTTGCTGGGTCCTGGGAGTGGGAAAAAATTACCCACAAGAAGTACCACGTTAGAGAGGGAAAGGTCTCTCCCCCTTGCACTCACTCAGTACCTTTTCACTAAAAATGGTTTGCCTTGCCTTTGGTTTCTGATTTGTTTTCCGGACTTTTGAAAGTTTTACTTAATATCTTTAAGTATAGAACTGTGCTAGGCATTTAAGTTATTGACTTAAAATTCCTACTTTTTGAGTCAAACTTAATAGAAATCTTTTCTCTGTGCGGACTCCAAAAATACCATCACCAAAAACTCTTTGGGACTCTTCGCTTAGTTGAAACATAGGTTTCCAGTACCAACTAATAGCTTGGGTCCTCAGTTGGTACCCAACTAAGGTTGGGTACTAGCTTTAGGCAACAGAATGAAGATTGAGCTGGATCCATTAACAGAATCCCATAGCTAACGCCGGAATCCATCCACATTACAGCCTTTTCATGAAATGGGGCACACCAACTGATTCTGTTCCCCTTGTCTTTGCGTTCACAACATAGCACCAAGAGACGTAACCTCCTTAGATGTCATGCCTAAAATTGTGACATCTCCAAGTACTTGGTGGTGGGAAGAGAGGTTCTGAAGTGGCTCTTATGAGAACGGAGGTGACACAGAGAGCTGTTCTCCTTATCTTGCATATTGAACAGGAAGCTGCTCTCTCTTTTTATCTTCCATCTTATATTTTCAAGAGTGTCTCCTTGGTCATTGAAATACACCTGATATTATTCTCACATGACTTTATTGCCCAGCCAGAATGTAAAAAGAAAAGCAATTTTCATTTTCCCATCTCCTCCTTTTTTCTTTCTCTGTCCCCATCATCCCAAAAATAAATATGCACCCCTTGGACCATGACTTTTGCCTAGTTCCCATGTATGTGAAATAAAAGAATAACATAAAATCAGGCCAACAGTTTTTAATGAGCTTCACAATCCTCTGAGAAAAGTAACTCATGCAATTTCTTCGTAGGAAAAGAAAAAATATATATATAAATATTAAAAGGATGTGACAGGTGTTTGGGGGTGAGGAAGTAAGTGCGGTCACAAAGGAGAAAGATCTTAACTACATTCCAGCAGAACACCCAGGGGGTGCAATATTTTTTGAAATTACGTTATTTCAAATGAGCAATTCTTGCATGCCTTCATAAGGGGGCTGGAAGACCCTAAAGAGTATATATAATTTAATCTTAACAGCCAACACGATAGACTTATTTACACTGTGTTTTTTCCTCAGTATTTGTACTCACTTTTACTACATGAAGTTTAAAGTCATCGGATAGTCTGAGGGGGAATAGAGAATCCCAGAGCTGAAGTCAGTGTCGTCGCATAAACTCTGATTCAGGGCTTAGTGTCATGTGTCATGTGCTCAGTTTGGAAAGACATTGCTTTAAATAGTTTTGAACAGATTTGAACAAAAATGAAAATGTCAATATTATGTACAAATCTGCTAACCTCCAAAATGGCCCCAAATGCATTAAAAAATAAAGTAGCAATCCAGGCCAGCGTCTGTTATATTAATCTTGTCAATGAGCTTTAACTTTTCTAAAACTAATCAACAGCAAAAATAATTATCTAACCCAAACCAAAATAATAATTTTCTTTTTCTTGATCCGGTTTTGCTGGTCAAAATTAGTCCGACATCTGAGTTCTGTGGGAGAGAGAAAACAAGTATTAAAATGAATTAGTGGAAACATATTGTGTTGCAGCTGGGATTTGCGTAATCCCTAGATGGCAGTTAGTTGTGTTTGTTCCACAGGCTTCGAAATAATTAGCCTGAAGTTATTCAGCTGGGAGGAGGCAGCACCATCTCCTTCAAACTTAAGGATGAATGAGGCAAACAATGTTGCGGTCTGTCGCATCTCTCTAACTGCTGTGTCATTTGTTATATCTCAACTCTCATTCTTTCAGGGGCCTTCTTGATTTCAGAAAAATAACGGCCATTAAGGGAAATTCTATCTGTTTTCTTTAGAGAATGTACTGTGTTGCACGAGTTTGTGGAGCTGGAAATCCGTTCATTTCGAACTCAAGAAAGTGAGAGGTTGCCTGAGGCTTTTTAAAAAATATTCTTGTTTATTTTATTTATTGATTTATTTTGGTTGCCATTTGGAAGTGCTCCGCCATCAAACAAAGAGTTGCAAATATATTTCTTCACTAATTTACATATTTCAACTCCATATTTAACAGCCAATTGGTAACTTCTGATTTCATGAAACATTAGAACCTAGGTACTGAGGAGAAGCGTGGAGATCAGTGTGTCTCTCAGAGAAAACGTACATTGGGTGGATTGGCCTGTTCCTTTTCTCACCACTTCTAGACGGGGTATGTGTGTGTTATCACTTTCTGCTTTTATGAAGAGAGACAAATTGGTAGTTATTATTTTGTGACTTGAGGGCAGCCTGGACTAGTATTTCCTGCCAGAATCATGTGTGTTGTGGATAAAAATCATTTTTCACACAACATTTTTTAAAGAGTTACTCTAGCTGCAACCTTGGCGAGTACAGGCTTCATGAGCTCCATATAAATGGCACTAATTGCACTGATGGGACACAGTCCACCAGACAGCAGGTGGGTGCCTTATGGTATGCTTGCTTGGTGTCACAGAGTTCCAGGAGGCTACAGGGAATTGTGCTGATACCATCAGTTAACTTCTGGCAAGAGTAATTTTCTTACCTCTTGGCATCTTACTATTTTGAAATAATTATGATAATTATGAAAATTTTAACTTGATGAAAAAAAATGATTGATTTAATATTCCCTTAGGCTTTTAAACTTCTGTTATAAAAGATTTTTTATAACTAATATTATTATTTTTCTTTACCAAAAATTAATTAAATAGAAATAAAAGATGCCTAGAGATTATCTCTGTAACAGCTAGAAGTAACTGAGGGCCCTTGTGACACAGGTCTTGACATGTGACTATGTAACAGGGCTTATTCAATCACAGCTGACTAGAATTTTATGTGGATGATCATCTCCCTTCAAAGAGGTTATAGGGGATTCTGTATTTATGTGCATAAAATTGTGGACTACTTAAACTGGACTTAGAGATCATTTCATCTGCCCCCTCTTTTCAAACAATTAAACAGCCCAAACTAAACCCAAAGTTCAGGTATTCTAGTGTTGACGTCATGACTTTCAGTGCTTTTGAAACGTTTTTAAGAGTAAATGTCAAGCCACTGAAAGAAAAGCTGTTTCATCACTTTAACACCTCATTTTTGACCCAATGAGTTTTTAGCCAATTTAATCACTTTTTCTATTCTTCAAAGTTAGATGTAAATGGCTCTTGAGTGGTGAAATGAATTAGAGCCACCTAAAATAGTAAAAGAAAATTATCATCATCAGCAATTTTTGAAAGTTTCTGCAGAAAAATTTTAAAAACAAATGTTTTATTCTCTGGAGCATCATTGGGATAAGTGTACAGAGAACCAAAGTGACTAACGAAAAATACTCAGTATTATCTGTTGAAAGATCAGCCATAGTAACATAAATTTGTATTACCATAGAATTTAGGTTTGGGTACTTCAGTGAGCTAGGATTACCTTTAGAGAGGCTTTCTGTCATTACACAGGGAAATGAAGCCTTTCCAGTCACAGTGTCACTAAATTGCTGGGTTGGCCACACTCTGCACTCTAGTTCCTGTTGGATCTACATTCTGGGTGGGCCAGCAGCCCCTTAGCAGCCCAAGAGCAGGTCTATGGAAACTTCCTCAGGTACTGCTCTACACAGATCAGGAACTAGACCATGTGGACAAATAAAAAAGAAATTAGAAAATCCAGTGTTAGCTTTGGGGAAACTAAATTTCTCTCAAAGGTAACTTCTAGAAACAGCATTGAGATGAGAATTCAAAAAGGAGATAGAAGGTTGGATGAGACAACTCTCCAATTTTCTTTCAATATGACTGCAGGCTCAAAAATTTCCCTTCCAGGCCAGTAATAGTGTTCTAATTGTCTGCTTCTCTAATTTTTTATTCTTTTCAGGGTTTGTATGCAAAAAGGAAGCTTTATCTGTACTGCAAAAGCCAGCCCATTCTATGGAGCTAGTATTGGAGCCTTATCTTACTGAGTCTTAGTTTCTTTCCTTAGTGTAAAACATTGCTATTGTAAGAACTGGAGAAAAACATATTAGAATCAGAAATGGCATACGGTGGTTATTTCATTTTTATAACACTGTGTAGTTTTCAGAGTGCTTTAACTCAATTTTTCTGACAATGATAAGCTTCTTAGAGGGTTAGTTTGGCTTCTGCCTTTCTGTTCCAGCTTTTACCTGTACTGCTTGCTACTTTCTTCTGCAGGGGATTCAAGATAGCAAAGAGAAGAGGGAAAATTCAAAAGAAATATTTTCACCAATTAGATAAACACTTGTAAACTTTCAGTGGGAACATAATTAAAGATATAGATTAAAGTAAAGATGTGAGAGGAAGAGTGGGTTTCTGATTTTGTCCATCTCTCCTGGAGTCTACAGTTTACTAACTCTCTGACATAACTCAGTTAAAGCCTCAGCGTGTGCCATTATTCACCAGAAATGCAATAAGGATGCTCATTACCGCACAGCCTGTTTCAGTTCAGTTTAGCAAAATCTTCTCTTACTTTTTTCCCTCAGTAAATGCTATAAAAGAGCTCCCTGGAGTGCAGAGGTATGAAGTGGTTTATCCCAGAAGACTTCATCCACTTCATAAAAGAGAGGTCAAGGAACCAGATCAACAGGTACAGCTTTTGATTTAACAAAGAACCTTGAAAAAATATATACATGATATACATATAAATATATAACTCTATTATATTTATATATATATACACACGTGTGTGTTTTTTGACCTATCTTATCTTTATTAATCTTCACAATAAACCAACATTCTACTATTACCATCATTTTGCAGATTAAGTTTCTGAAAGTTGAAATACACTTTCCAAGGTCACACAGACAATAAACTTTAATATTTTTGTTTTATGGTAATGCATAATTTATTCCATGTACTTCCAAAGAAATTTGATACAACTTATTTTATGTATTACGTATATATCTATCTAATCTATCTATACACACACCTATGCAAACAAAACCTTGACCGTTAATACTGAAGTAGAAAATAAAATATTGTGGAGGGATGCATGCATACATGCATATTAAATTAGAATGGATTGCTATAATTGAGCATGAAATTTACCTCTCTCTTTTCTAAATGGGCAGCTATTAAAGTTTGTGTAATTCCTACTACTTAATGAAACAACACATTCTCAATCAAAAGAGGAAAACTAAAACATGCTGATTCATTCAATAACAATTTATTAATTACCCTCACCCAGAAGTCTTTTGCTGGGAGCCAGAAAAATACAGAAAAATGAGACATAAATAACAATTTACAGAAATCTTGTACGATGCAACTCACTGGGAGCACATATTTCCCCACTGAATAAGGTTCCTCACAGATTATTTCTTCTAAAGCGAACACATTTGTAAAAGTAGAATCTGTAATAGACTCTAGTTCCCAAAATAATTACTGCTCAACAAAATGTTTCTGCTAAATTTAAATGGGATTGAGATGCATTGGATTCCCCGGCAATACGGCTTTCTTCAAGTGCTTTCTGGCAGTCTCTTAAAAATGCCACTTACTTTTCTCATTGAGTATTTTGAGGAAAATTTGAATATAGGTCCAGTATTTTTAATCACAGTTATACAGTGATTTCCTTGCAAGTGTAAAAAAATAAATTTAAGCTTTTGAACAATTTATTTTGATGAAAATCCATAGAGTGGTTACTGGCACAGACTAGGTGGTCAAGCTTAATTATTGGAATGATTCAGTAGCTGCATGCAGTTGATACAACGTGCTAGATATTATTGCAAATACATTATCTATCTAGTCCACTATTCGGTTAACTGGCTGTGCGAACCTTGTGTTTTTCTGATCCACAGTGAAAGTGTAAAGGATCTGAATTCAGAGAGCTTGTTTCTATTTACATCTTAGCTTTGTTAATTTTCTCTGTGTAAATTTAGACACACACAAACTTCAAATTCTTTGTCTTAAAATTGAGATAAGAATAGTAATGCTTATCTTATATGGCTATTTTGAGACAACTTATGCGAAAAGCAAAGTAAGATGCAATTATTTACTCACTGTTCCAATTTATGCTATGACACTGTCCTATCTGACCCATCAGATTCCTCTTCTTATGACTGACTTTCCAGGCTCTTTGTGCTTAATGCAATGGTTTATTAAGCCTGTCTGTTTTCGTTCTGCTTCTCAATATAACCTCCTTTTTAGTCAGCCTTGGTATTCTCAAGGCTTTTCTTAATAATATGCTTGTTTTTACCTCGATGCCCTTTCTTATGGATTTCTTTCTACTTAAAAAGTTCTCTCTATGTGGAACGCCCAGCCCATCTGACGTTCTCTGTGAGTCAGCATGGACTATCTGTGTGTATCCTGGTAGAGCCCTCTCCTGAAGCCGTGTTTCCGTCATAATCAGTGTTATACTGTTTGGCTCTTGATATAAATATGTTTTTAATATTGATTTTACTGTAGTGATGTGTGTACATGAGTGTGTGTGTGTGTGTGTGTGTGTGTCTATGAGAGTGCGTGTAATCTTCTCTTCTGGCTTGAAATTGCCCAGGTGAATAATAAAAGTTTTTACTATGTCTTTAACATGTCTCTGCCATTCCTTCACTCTTGTCTCCCAGCCCGTCCTGTGGAAAGTATTTCATAAACACTCATTGATTCAAAAAAATCCTTGCAAAGCTCATCGATTTTACATTTTAAAGGAAATGAAAACGTTAAACCAAACCCCATAGAGAATTGAAGAAAAATTTGCCTAAATAATTTGAATGTTTTAATGCTTCTTTATATGGTGAATCTTATTTTCATAGTTTTATTTAGTTATTTGCAAGTTTCTCCTTGCTCCCTTTAGCTGTGGAGGGTAGAAGATAACACGGTGTTGGGCGTGCTGAATATAACGGGATGAGCACTGAATGCTTCCACATTGCCTTGCAAGTACATATAACTCAATCATGTCTGCTTTTCAGTATTCAAGTGACGTTGATGTCCTCAGGGGTTGGCTCATGTCTTTGAAGTAGCCCACAGCAAACATGTGACCAAACCATTAGAAGTAACTCCTGGCTAAATAAACATTCTGAACGAATGCACCTGCTTTTCCCAGCTAGTGGTTCCCATGCTCTGGTTTCTCAGAATCTCACCTCCTTTCTCTAGTCATTGATGTCTAGTTTCCATTTTTTCTTACATCTCCGTGGACTCTACCATGTGTAGAATCTCCAGATTTAGCCAATAAAACTACAGGATACCCAGTTAAGTTTGAATGTCCCAATACACAATGAATGCTTTTTTAGTATAAGTATACTCAAATACTGTATCGGATATGCTTGTATTAAAAAAGTTAGTCCTTGTTTGTCTGACATTCTAATTTAACTGGTGTTCTGTATGTTATCTGGCAATCCTGCTATGTGGCTTTTATTATCTCCCCGTGAACATCTGAAACTAAACCCTAGCAGTGATTCCAGCCCTTGTCCCCTCCACGGATATAAGGCCTCGTGCTGCTGCATGTCTGATATTTCAGTCCTGCCCTGTCAGGACACTGAGTTCTGTCATATCATGCTTGTCCTACAAGCATAGACTAGAGACGCTGGTGACATCCTTGCCTGCCACACAGCAGGCACATTCTTTCCCCTGACATAGAATCTTCTCTTTTTGCTCAGACACAGCTTATGACTAATAAGAACACTGTCTTATAGGTATAAGCCAAGTTCTTAGAAGTTATCCTTGTGATTTCTGTGTTAAGACTGTTGTTCTTCCTTATGCAAATAATTCATTAGCAATTACTTGAAGCATCCCGACTTTATAATGCATCCGACTGAGGGGATCTCTGTATCTACATAGATCTCAGTCTGGATTAATCATTTCTCAAGGCAGTGACCAGGAGGACTCTTGTCCTTATGATTATACAACTGTGCCCTCTACTGGACCAGAGAACTGAGGCAATGGCATTACCTGTCAGCTATGCCAAGAGCATGGCCCCATCTTTCTGACTTCATCGTGCCTGGCCACATTACTTAAGATTTGAACTGGAATAAAATAATCCTTTGAAAAATTTTCTGGAGAGGGCACTAAAAGCCAGGGTAGATCCTCAAATGTTTTATTCATGATTGTATTCCTGATTGTATTTTATATGCATTATGTAATGGGAACTGATTAAGTATTTGTTGAATGAGTGAGCAAATGAAGAAGTGAACAAGTGGACAAATGTATGAATGGATATAACTGGAGTACATTGCCCATATACCTGCATAGATATGTATTCAACAAATACTTAATCCAGGTCTCTGATGTTGGGAACCTACGTTCTAGAGGCAGTCACTATTCTTCCTAGGATTCAGCCTCCCGATCACTCACTTCCTTAGAGGCCAAAACCATCTTGCTGTTGGCCCATGCCATAAAATAGAATATCTGGCAGCACAATGCCTCCCATGTATTGGGAACAATTTCAGGCCTTAGCTAGGTCCATAAGGGTTTCTAGAGGCTTCGGATTACTCTATGTTATGGTAACAGTTGTACTACTAGAATTAAGAACCTCCCTGGGACTTCTAGGGTTTCCTTTGCTATTCCTGTTTGCCCATGAGCATCATCTTGACTTTACAGATCTGCTCCCATCCCAGGACTATCACTTTCCCAATCCACCCACTAAACCTTACCTATGGCATTTTTCCTGGAGGAAATTTTTATTTGTATGTTCCTGTGACCAGCTAATCTTACTCAATGGGCTCCAAATCATTTCCTTCTAGTGGATGCTCTCCAAATCAAGGTGTATCTTTCCTCTCCTAACCCATAGTTCAGGACACAGATGGTGTACAAATAAGACACACTTCTTGGTAGGCATTGCCCTCCACCACGGACTGTTACTTGAGCAGTACAGTTATAACATCACCCAGTGCACCCTCTTTCATAGAGAGTCTGGTTTTCTTCCTTGCTGTTTCCTTCACCCGTAACCTCTATGCTAGTATCAGCTAAAACTCCCCCTTAAAAAAACAATTATCTTTTCTAAAATAACCACCAAATAATGTTTTAGGTGAAGGTCCACTAAAAATCCATTGCTGACAGGAAACATATCTGGAAGACTCTTTTGGTTAGAAGGTCCTATCTAGTATCCTCCTCATATTTTCATTCTATCTGGCCTTTCTTAAATCTGAACAAGAAGTGGTTACAATGGTTCCCCATGACTTTTATTTTCAACCCTCAGAGTTTTTGAAGCTCCTGTTACTCGTGAAAATGAACTGAATTACAGCAGCCTCTCCTCATCTAGGCCACAGTATAGGATATTTAGAGCCTGGCATTTTTGATACCGTAGAAAACTCCAATAACTGATAATTTAAAGGAAATATAGACCAAAATAACTGACCTTGGAGATGGCAAGTCCCTGCACAGTGCTTGTGACTTGATGACTCTAACTTGCTATTGTCCTTTGATGAGCTCAGGTACTGTTCTGGCCAGGAGAGGGAGAACAGAAGGAAAGCTGGGCCTTACGTGCAACAGAGCAGAGAGAACAGCACTCAGCCAGTAATAAGGGGTTGTCACTCGAGTTTGCTCTGCTATATTTAGATCTCTTTAATAACAACGTCTGGCACTTCCCAGTGAATTTTTGGACGTTGGGTGTAATCATGGCTAATAACACTGTTTTACACAACAAAGTCAGACTTCAGTACCCAATAACATCTTCTTTAAAATCCTTCTGTATAGTCCTCTCTCACTCTTCCTGTATATATAAATCTAAACTTAAATCAGTTCTCCTTTTCCATGTGGTTTACTTGAGGGGATATTTTCTCTTTCTGAACACCTGAGACTATGTTTTCTTCCTGATGGCTTCTCCCTGCCTTAGGGTACATATTTCTGTTATTTTTCCCATATTCTGACCTCCACTTAGCCTTGAGAAGAAGTCCAGTTGGAAAATCATCAGTGAGAGTTTCAGAGGTCTTTGGGTTTGTGAGCATACTAGTCCTTCTTCTCAAATAACTTCCCCACTCTGCTTCACCTGGCTACTTCATATCTCAGCTTACACATAACTTCCTCAAGAAAGCCTTTCCTGTCCTTAAGATGTTAGATGGCCTATATTGTTTCCATCTTTATATCCCTTATCATACAACATAACTCAATTTTACTGTCTGTCTTTCCACAAGATTATAAGCTTTCTGACAACAGGTACCAATTTTTCTTGCTTGGATTCAAATTTCCAGAACCAAGCACTGTCTTGCACATAACTAGCACTCAGATAATATTTGTAGAATGTATGTATGGATGGAAGGATAGAAAAGTCCCAAATAACCTGTCTATTCAGTTAGCAGAGTTGATGATTTGTTAAAAGTGGCAGAAACACGTTTGGTCTTGTGCAGACTATTGTTAAAGAAAAGCAGGCATTGCTTGCTAATGATTAAACAGATGGACGTAGCCAAATGAATATTCGTGTATTTTTAATTACCAGTAAATGTTTGTGCATTTTTGCAGGGAAAATTTGAAACTGAGTTGAAGTATGAAATGACAGTAAATGGAAAAATTGCAGTGCTTTATTTGAAAAAAAACAAGTAAGTGTCTTTACTTCTGATATTATCCTCACCAACAGCAAGTTAGTATGTGGAAAGTGGGCTAACTGAGTCTGTTACTGCTTATGGCTCTCACAAACCTTGGCTAATCAGCTTTTGCTCTCAACTGACCCACAGGGTTCAGCTAATATTTGTTACCAAAGTAGTAGAAACACACTGGACAAAACAACAGTTTACTAGTGTTTTGATACTTCTAGTAATGAAATACAATGAACGAGGTGCAAGCAGACATACGTTTTATCAAACTCTATGAAATAGCAGATAGATTTTTAAATCTTCCCCTATATTATTGCATTTTATTATTCTAACACTGAAAGATTAGATTTTAAAACAATTTGCAACCATTTCCATCAGGAAAAAACAAGACGTATATAGGTTAAATAAACCCTGGGGGCCAAAGAACAGGCAGTGGTAAAAGCAGAATTGGGCTCTCCTGAGTCCAACACCACTGCTTTCTACCCAGCTATCCACTAACCAGTCCATTTTTCTCATACGTTACATTGTCCTCTTATTACTTTATTATCTTTATACAGTTCGTCTAAATTCAATATTTCTTTTCAAATTTCACTGTCTCAGCTCTCATGCAGATCTTGATCATCCTATATCTTGACTATTTCAAAAGTGGTTTTTCCTGAATCTGTGCTTTCAAGCTCTTTCAATCCCTAAGTCATTCTCTATAGGACAGTAAGATGTTTTTCACTCAAATAGACTATCATCCTTGCAAAAAGTCACAACTGGCTGAGGTTTGGAAACCATGTGGTGTAATGGGAACAGTACAGGCTTTGGATTCAGGCTGACCTAGATGTGATTCTTTGCCATTTGAACTATTTAATCTCATCTCAAAAATAAGGAGAGTAATATTTACTTTGTGGGGTTGTTGAAAGGATTAAATTAAATGACTCACATAACACATCTAACCCAGTGGCCAATATAGAGATGTCGTTTAACAGATATTAGCTACTTCCTTTTCTCCTCGCCTTTCCTCTTTTAAAAACATATTCAGATTCCTATTTTTCTAACAGGTAATTGAAAGAATTTTAAGAGCTGAGTGAAAATGCTGAAGGGCCCTAACTACCAAATGCAAGTCAATTTCCAGTAAACTATCCACTGCTACAGTTGTTAACAGTGACTGGTAACTGAAAAGGACTGGGTGAAAATGCAGTTACCCTCAACTGGGGAGGAACATTGCTCTTTTCAGTCATTTTTATCAACTTTGACCTTCTCAGTTCCATTTCTTCCTCAAATGTCTCCTCAGACAAGTATGCAAAGTCTAATGAGAAAGCAGACACTGTTCCACACTGCTCAGGAATGTCTCTGCCCCTCTGTCTTTCCATTTTAAATATCCCTTTCATGCTTGGACTTGTCTTGAGGGGTCTGGAGAAGGAGCTCAGGAGTTAAAACTTTTCTGCACACCCAGTGAAAGCTCTCACTTTGATCACTGGACTTTGCAATTACCATGAGTAACCGAGACAATTTTCTTTCCCCTCAGGAATCTCCTTGCATCGGGCTACACAGAAACACATTATAATTCCACTGGAAAGGAAGTCACCACAAGCCCACAGATCATGGTAAAACAGTATCCTAGAATTGTTGTTAATTAGGGGGTGACTCACACACCCAAATGCAGTGTCATTGCCAGGTAAATATTGCCAGTGAAACAGCATATGTAGCACTGGGACTTTTTTCAGCAGGAGTAATTTCTTAATTGATCCTCCCACGTTCTTATAGTTTGACAAGAACAAAGGCTTTTCTTGACAACCGTGGTCACGCTTTCCAGCCTTCAAGGGCTCCCTATAAAAGAGTGGTCAGAAAGAGCTTCTCATTTTCATTAGAAAAGTGAAGAATTAAAAGTCTTAGTCTATAATGCTGATTACCTCTCTAGATCATGTAGTCTCTCAAACTCAAGACTATTTCATCAATGGTAGGATTGTAGAATTCTATGTTTTCCTTAAATAATTTCCACTCTTGAGTTTTATTCAGAGAAGATGACAGTGTGAAGTGGCACGAGGGGTATTTTATCATTGTCGTCTTTTCTGAGCTCCATTTTCTATTGGAAGGCCTTCTCCAAGACACAGAGGTTTACATGGGCCAATACCTCATCTGTCCCAAAGTAGAAAGGTGTACTTCACTGAAGTACATCCACATGGAAAAGCGTTGGGATCGGACATTTGGCTCCAAATGGAGGCCGGGATATTGTACTAACCCATTTGGTCTGATGGAACTCTTTGGATAAATCAAGCAATAACAACACAATCTGAATAACCCGTTCATTGGAGAGAGCTTGTAGATATCAGAAAAATATTAATGAGTAATCAGCCAAGGAAAAGAATGAATGTCTGATGTTTTTGGGGACTTGGGTTTTAAACTTACATGTGTAAGTATGTTTCTTTCAAACTGTATTCACTCCTGTTATCCTTCTTCTGCAACACCAACATTTACACCAGGATTTAGTTGACATTCTTTGTCTTTAGGATCATTAACTAGATATTAAGGATTTTAACCATAAAAAGCTTCTTTAAAATTGTTTTTTTTACGTCTCTAAGTTGACTGTTGTTCAGCATAAAATGATTTGAAAACATTATAGATCCTGTTTCAAGATTTCAAATTCAAATTTAGCAGTGGGTCTAAAAAACATGCATACTTTCCTTTAAAAAATCCCTTTTCCCTTTTCTTTAGGATGACTGTTATTACCAAGGACACATTGTGAATGAAAAAGTTTCTGATGCTAGCATCAGCACATGTAGGGGTCTAAGGTAAGACTTTATGAATGGTTTGTATGCACCTGTGACGATGGTGTGTGTGTGTGTGTGTGTGTGTGTGTGTGT